TGTGGTGTCTGTGCGTGTGTGTCTCTGTGTGTGTCTCTGTGTGTGTGCTCTGTGTGTGTCTCTGTGTGTATGTCGTGTGTGTCTGTGTGTGTGGTGTGTGTGTCTGTGTGTGTGTCTGTGTGTGTGTGTGTTGTGTTGTGTGTGTGGTGTGTGTGTGTGGTGTGTGTGTGTGTGTGTGTCTGTGTGTGTGTGTGTGTTGTGTGTGTGTGTGTGTGTGTGTGTGTGTGTGTGTGTGTGTGTGTGTGTGTGTGTGTGTGTGTGTGTGTGTGTGTGTGTGTGTGTCTGTGTGTGTGTGTGTGTGTGTCTGTGTGTGTGTGTGTGTGTGTGTGTGTGTGTGTGTGTGTGTGTGTCTGTGTGTCTGTGTGTGGTGTGTGTGTCTGTGTGTCTGTGTGTCTGTGTGTCTGTGTGTCTGTGTTGTCTGTGGTCTGTGTCTGTCTGTGTGTCTCTGTGTCTCTGTGTTCTCTGTGTCTCTGTGTCTCTGTGTCTCTGTGTCTCTGTGTCTCTGTGTATCTGTGTCTCTGTCTCTCTGTGTATCTGTGTCTCTGTGTGTGTGTGTGTCTGTGTGTCTGTGTGTGTCTGTGTGTGTCTGTGTGTGTCTGTGTGTGTCTGTGTGTGTCTGTGTGTGTCTGTGTGTGTCTGTGTGTGTCTGTGTGTGTCTGTGTGTGTGTCTGTGTGTGTCTGTGTGTGTGTCTCTCTGTCTGTGTGTGTGTGTGTGAGTGAGGGAGTGAGTGAGTGTGTGTGCGTGTGTAGTCAGGGCTCCTTTCTATCGATCGATCTATTTATGTGCCCACACATGTTATATATATATATATATATGCTTGTTTACATGTATCTTCGTTTAATTATTTCTGCATTTGTTCATTTATACATACATACGTTTATATAAAAACAGTACCATATTATATGCATGTATATACATATATACAGATGTGCACACCCTCGTTTGGTTGGTAAGAAGGGGGTATGACCATGATGATGATGATGATGATGATGATGATGATGATGATGATGCTGATGGTGATGATGATGGTGATGATGGATCACTGTTTGGGGTCTTGTCTTTAGTGCGGTTTGGGGTTTACCTCAAGGCTCCTAATGTAGTTCCTTTTTGGGTTCGATATAGAGCTCTTCGTATAATTACTAGCCGAAACAAGTACTACATAGGAGCCTTTAGGCAGGGTGCTGCAAGGAAGTGTTGCCGGCAACACACTTCGAGGAAGCGGCCCGGATGATGGCGTAGTTCTTCGCAAAGGCTTGGTATTGCCTCGGCCAGGCTGCTACACAAAGACATTGACGGCTAAAAACCTTAAGTGTTGAAACAGCAAACTCTATCAAATAAACCGTGCCTCGGCCGGGCGGCTACACAAAGACGTTGACGGCTAAAATCCTTAAGTGTTGAAACAGCAAACTCTACCATTTAAACCGCCCTTTATGACCTCAAAGCCAAAAAACCCCAAAGCCAACTCCCAAAGACCCAAACCAGCACACCCCCAGTCCAAAACCCCCTCGAGCCCTACTCCCCCAACAGCCACCCAAACCCACGCCCCACCGCCCAAAACCCCCAAAAAACCCCGAAAAACCCTAAACTTTGCCCTAAACCGCCAACCCCCACGATAGCTGTGCGCCCGACACCACTTCATTGGGGTTCTGCACCTCCTGGCGCAGGAAGCATCCTTATAGGGGTACTGTCTTCTTGAGCGACGCTGAGCTTACAGAAGAGGGCCTCCTCCAAACCCGCCCCTAAGCACCTTGAGGCCCTAAACCCTGGAGCTCCCAACCTCCGATCTCTCCAGATGTTACATGGCCCCAAAACCCTAAACCCCTAACCCCAAGTGTCACGGCTAGGCTCTAAAGCACTGTAGCTCGTCTGGAAGGCTTCTTGCTCAGGCTCGAGCTCGGAGGAAGGGTTTAGGGGTTCAAGGGTTTGAGGGTTTGGGGTTTAGGGTTGGGGTTTTACAGGGTCGAAGTTGGGATGCTCCCCCTCATACTAACAGTCCTTAATAGGGATTATGGAACCCCGATTATTATCCATATTAAGGACGGTTTGTAGAAGGGGAAACATTCCAAGTTTGCAGTTTACGGTTTGGCACTGAGGGTTTTACTTGCTCCTCCAAAAACCAAGGGAAAAGAAGGCGAAACTTTACTATTCCGACTGAATAAGGAAGCCCGAAAAAGTTTAAAGTTCAACTATTGGCGAAGTAAGTTTCGGGGTCTAACTGTCGAGCCGCCGGTGTCTCAAGGGACTAAAGGAGGGATCCTGATAAGAGACCTTACGGGTTATTTAGGGGTATTTAGGGGTCTTTTAGTGGCTACTTAGGAATATAGGGACTATTCAAGGTATTAAAGCAGGGTTATTTCGGGGAGAACCTTCCAAGGGGTCCCTCATTCTACCCCTGAAGTGTCTGAACAAAGGCGGACGCCTCAATGGTCACCACATGGTTGGCTCCAGCCTGCTCGCAACATCTTGGAAAGCTCCTCGTCTGACCCCCGGGCACTGAGCCCCTCTGTGGGGGCTTCCGAAAATAGGGCTAGCCTTTTTGGGGGGTCCCTTTCAAGGGGATTCTATCTTGGGGTAGAAAAGGGGATATCGCACTACGACCTTAAACAGGGCATGAAACCCGAAGGCTCCTAATGTAGTTCCCTCATTATAGTGTAGGACCTTGAAAAAAGACTACATGGGAGTTTACGAAGATGAGGGACCCCAAATGTAGACCCCCAAACAAGAATAGGGTTCCCTTAGAATAAGGACCCCAATGAGGTACCCCTAATATCGTAAACACCCCATGGGAGCCTTTGGGTACTGTAGGTGGTTGAGGGTTCATGCTGACAAACCCTAAACCCCTAAACCCCTAAACCCTAAACCCTAAACCCTAAACCCTAAACCCTAAACCCTAAACCCTAAACCCTAAACCCTAAACCCTAAACCCTAAACCCTAAACCCTAAACCCTAAACCCTAAACCCTCTGAGGCTCTAGCCTCAACCAGGCGACCCCTGGCAGACGCTGAAATCTCCGGAAGTGCGAGGACGCTGACCTGGAGTCGGAGGTTTCTAAAATGGTCAAAACTTAGGGTTTAGGGTTTAGGGTTTAGGGTTGAGGGTTGAGGGTTTAGGGTTTAGGGTTTAGGGTTTAGGGGCCCTAAAGCCTAAACCCCAAGTAAGCCCTTAACCCCTACAAATCCTAAGTCCTAAGCCGCGTGGATCCCTGAATTCCTGAATGTGGGCTTTAGGGCTTGGAAGTCTAGAAACAACCCTAAACCCTCAACCCGAAACCCTAAACCCCAAACCCTAAACCCCAAACCCTAAACCCTAAACCCTAAACCCTAATCAAATCCCAAACTTAGGATGTTCCCCCTTATACAACAGTCCTTAATAGGGATTGAAATCATCCCTATTGAGGAGGTTAGTACAAGGGGGAACATCCCTAAACCCTAAACCCTAAACCCATATTTAAAGAAGGGGACTAAACCCTCATCAAGAGCACCAGCATCGAAGCGGGGAGATTCTTCCGCCTTGAGCCCTCAATGCACTTAGGGTTTAGGGTTGAGGGTTTGGGTTTAGGGCCTCGGGGATTGAAAAAAAAAAAAAAAACGGTTCAAGGATTAGGGTTAAGGGTTTAGCGCTTACGGAAGGTTTTGAGGATTCAAAGGTTGTCGAACCTGCGGGCTTGAGGGGTTTAGTCACAACACTTCCGCTGACAAAACCACAACCCTGAAACTTTAAACCCACGCCCTACACTTCAAACCTCAAACATTTCCTAAACCCCACAAACCCCTAAACCCCCAAAACTCTGGCACCCCCAAAACCTAACCCTAAACCCTATAACCCTAAACTCCATACCAAAAACCTTCCCCCCCCCCCCCCCCCCCCCCCCCGCGCCCCGCAAACCCACGAAACCCTCAGAGCCGCCTCCTGGGCACTGCGGGTCCTCACGGAACGGACCCATGCCTAGCGACTCCAGGGAGGCTTCCCAAAGGAAGCATCTGCGGTTTAGGGTTTGGTGTAAGGTTTAAGGTTTAAGGGTTTAAGGGTTTAGGGTTTAGGGTTTAAGGTTTAAGGTTTAAGGTTTAAGGTTTAAGCTTTAAGGTTTAACGTTCAAGGTTTAAGGTTGAAGGGTTTAAGGGTTTAAGGGTTTAGGGTTTAAAGGGTTCAGGGTTTGGGGGGGGGCTTAGTGTTTCATGTCAGTTTCAGAGGGGAGGGGATGAGGAGGAACGGAGGTGGAAGATTGAAGACACCCTAAACCCTAAACCCTAAACCCTAAACCCTAAACCCTAAACCCTAAACCCTAAACCCTGAACCCTAAACCCTAAACCCTATAGACACGACTCCCTAAGCTTAGAGTGGGTGTCGGGGGCTGGTTGAAGTCCAAACCATATCCAGCTAACCGAAGAAACCTTCTAGCGACCCTCAACCCTAAAACCCGAAACCCTAAACCCTAAACCCTAAACCCTAAACCCTAAACCCTAAAACCCTAGACCCTTTAAACCAAAGGTAGCTAGAGCACCCGAAGGCCCACCAGGCCTCGGAGCAGCCCACAAAGTCCTCTGACCTCGGCATCTCTTCCTATAGGCATCGAAAGGCCTCATGGGGTTTAGGGTTTAGGGTTTAGGGCTTAGGGTTTGGGGTTTAGGGTTTAGGGTTTAGGGTTTAGGGTTTAGGGTTTTAGGATTTGGAGCGGCGCTTCCTGAAACCCACTTCGCCGATGCCAACGCCCCCAAACGTTTCAGGGGCTGGGGGTGATGAACAACACAAGGAGTGATGTTGGCATGCAGCCGTATACATTGTGAGCGGAAAATTGCGATGGAACCCCAGAGAGCAAGACCACGATTTCCTGTGGGCAGGACTTGGGCTGCGAAGACTTCGGGTTTAGGGTTTAGGGTTTAGGGTTTAGGGTTTAGGGTTTAGGGTTTAGGGTTTAGGGTTTAGGGTTTAGGGTTTAGGGTTTACGGTTACATCAGAACTGTCTCAGAGACCAAGTCAGAGTGGATCTCGATGGATCTCTTCACAGTCCTCGCGGTCTCGAGTCGAAGAGTTGCCGACAGCACATCTGCGCGGTGGGCGCCAGAAGCCGGGCAACGTGGAGATGCTCGTGCGCCTGGTGGCAAGCCTCTGCTCCGCTGCAGACGCTCACGAGATCATGCGTGCGCGCCTGGCGCATGAAGTCCAAGAGCTCCAGGGCAGCTGCCCAAGCGGCCCCCTGGGCGACCGCCAGCAGCGTGCTGCTCCAGCAGATGCTGTCGGGCTTTAAGGACTGGCTGGGCATGGACAGGAGCACCTCAAGGGCTCGGGGCCATACTCGGCCCTTCTGGCAGGCGCTGATGGTGCTGCTGCAGCTGATGCAATCTGCCACGCGCTCGTGGGCCATGTGTCCGAGGAGCTCCATGGCCATTTCCCAGCGACTGCCCTTCTCTGCGGCGCTGATGGCCGAATTCCACGTGATCTGGTTGGCACTGACGCGGAGTCGGGGCATAAGGTCTAAGATGCGCAACACCTCCTTCCAGTGGCCATTCACCTCACACGCGCTTATGATGCTGGTGCAAGTAACAACATCCACATCCAGAGCCTGGTCCAGCATGCAGGCAAGGAAAGCCAGGGCCATTTCCCACTCCCCCGTCGACTCGCAGGCGCTGATGACGAGGTTGGCTGGCAGAGTCCCTGTTGGGCTCTTCCCGGATGCCCATAAGCCGAGGGCCACCGACCACTGGCCGAACTTCTGACACGCCCTCAGCTCGTTGAGGAGCAGCGCCGGATCGGCCTCTTCCAGGTCGGCCACCTGCTGAAGGACCAGCAAGGCCTTTGCCCAAGATGGGATGCCGGCGCAGGCCGCAGCGCAGCTCTGCAGGTCTCGCTCGATTCCCGCCTGCGCCAGGCCGCAGGAAAGCTGGAGCGCGTGCCTCCAACGCCCGTGGCCTTCGCAGGCATGCATGGCGGATGTCATGGCGACCATGTCTGGGAGAGTGGCTGTGAGCTTAAGAGTGTGCAGGGTGCTCAAACCCTGAGACCACTCTGACCACTCGCCATAGGACTCGAGCAAGGCGCTGTAGCTGATGATGTTTGAAGGCAGCTGCATTTCGCGCAACGACTGCTGAAGACTCAGAGCCTGTTCCCAGGCTTCCGAACAGGCGCCCATGGCACTCCCGTAGGAGACGATGTCAAGAGAGATGCCCCAACGCTCTGATGCTTCCAGAAGGTCCAGAGCCAACAGCCAGCGCCCTTGACACCCACACAAGGCGCTGCTGCAGGTGACGGCATTGGGAAGCACCTGCTGGCTTGACATCCTTAGTAGCCCAGTAACCATATTATCATAAGGGCACCCTTTTTTGGGTTGGTTATTTTATAAGGGAACCCATAACCAAAAAAAGGGGTAAGGGCACCACTGGGCTACCAAGCATCTGGGCAGTGAGGTCCAACACCGCCTGCCAAGGCCCGCACTTCTCGCAAGCGCTGCCGGCGCCACCGTAGATGAAGGCGTCGACCTCCAGTCTCCCAGTCCGCATGGACCGCAGGAGGCATAGGGCCAAGGTCCATTGCCTCCACTCAGAGGAGCCTAGGCTGCCCAGTAACCTAGGCTTAAAACGGGTGCCCCTTTTTTGCTTAAAGGAGTTTATAAGGGAACCTAAACCCCCCCAAAAAAAAAGGGAATAAGGGTACTACTGGGCCTCCTAGGAGCTGAGGCCGCTGAGGCCGCAGCTGAAGCTGACCTTACTCGGGCGCACAGCCACCTGGGGCATGCTCTGAAGCAAGAGCAAACCTTGGCTGCACTTAGGAGGCTAGCAAAAAATTAAACTTTTAGCTGCCTTATGAAGAAATCCAATAAACCCAAAAAGGCTAAGGATCTAAAGTTACAGTAAAGCACCACCAAGAAGCCCTCCTGCCACTGGCCCCGCCGAGCACAGGCTTGAACAGCGGCCGAGTGGTGGTACACGTCCGTCTCCACGGCGTGTTTCTGCAGGAGCCGAAGGAAGTAGGCAGAGCCCTCGACTTTGCAGAGCCTCCTCGCCAGCTTGGGCTCTTCCCGCCATGTCTCCCAGGGCAATCCCGAGCCATCACGTGGTCGCACCTGGTGGGGGAATGCATGTGTTTTTTTTGTTCCTGGGTCGTTTTGGTCGCCATGTTTTACTTGCTGACCGAAGGTAATTTCCAGGTTTGGATTTTCAGGATTTGGAGAGTTGCAGACTGCGCCTGTGAACCTCTAAAAGCTTCAGCAGGTTAAGGGGGTATAGCAGTTTTGCGGCCCCTATTGACTTGTTGTTCAGAGTACGTATCCCAGAAAGCGGTGCAAACTTAGAGCGAAAATGGTGATGCTGGCTTTCCACCCGAGACGACCGCAAACTTGCTGCGCCAACCTTAAAGCAGGACTCAGCTCCAAATCCTAAACCCCAGACCCTAGACCCAGCACCCAAACCCTAAACCCCAAACCCTAAGCCCCAAACCCCAGACCCTAAACCCTAAACCCTAAACCCAAACACTGAAATCCAGGGTGCCCGCCTCTGCCTTGCATGGATGACAAAGAGCACCGAGGTCGCCATCCATGCGCCGAAGGACGGACGAGGGTTTCGGGTTTGTGGTCCTCAGGCCCTGAATCCCCCCTAAACCCTAAACCCTACACCCTAAACCCTAAACCCTACACCCTAAACCCTAAACCCTAAACCCGAAGCTCCTAAGCCCTGAGCCCTAGAATTATACACCGAGCCCGAAATCCCCGACATGAAACCTCGAGCCCTCACCCCCTAAGCTTGGAAGCCCTAAGCCCTCAACCACAAACCGGAAATCCCTAATCCCAGCACCCTAAACCCTAAATCCGAAACCCCCTAAAACCCCTTAGCTTGTGGGAATCCTTGCGACATCTGCAGGTTTGCAGGCTGGGGTGTGGCTTGAGCCCAGGCTTCAGGGCTTAGGGCTTGCAATGTTTGGTTGAGGGAGTTGGGGTTTCCTGTCTTGTTGTGTTTGGGCTGAAAGCTGAGGATAGCGACCTCCAACGGAACCTCTATCCCCCGAAGCCTGCATGCGGCCCATCGCCCCCAATTCCTAGGATTGAGGGTTAAGCGGGTTCTTGCGTTTAAATTTAGGCTTTAGGATGGAGGGTGAAGCGTGCAAGGGTTACAGGGGTTTGCATCGAGTCCCATGCCCTACCTCACCCCCCTCCCCATGCTACATCCGAAGCCCAAGCGCCTGGATTCCGCTCCTTGCCCATGCAGTTTCCGAGGGCAAGGCAGCAAGACAGTCACGAAGGCGCAGCGCCTAGGCCGACAGTTAGAGGGTTCAAAAGGGAGGGGGGTTCAAACTCCCGCAGCCCCGATACCACAAGACGCAGGAATTTTAGGGTTTAGGGTGTAGGGTTTGGAGTTAAAGGGAGGGAGGCTTATGGGGGCGTAGGTACCTGGGGAACCTTAGGGAAGCTTAGGGATCCTTAGGGAGTAGTGGGGAGCATTAGGGAACTTTGAATTACACTCCCCCCTTGCACCCCCCTCCCTTAAGAACCCTACACTCGAAAGCCTAAACCCTAAACCCTAACCCTAAACCCTAAACGCTAAACCCTAAACCCTAAACCCGAAACAAGAGACAAGGCACCAGGATTCGCTTTACTTCAGGACTTCGGGTTGAAGCTTTCGTTTAGGCGAGGCCTTGGTAGCCCCAACAAAAAAACATCCTGCGTTGGCCAGAAGCCTTGCCTCACAAACCCTGAAGACCCAAAGAAACTCTTCATACACCCTATCTTGGTAGCCCAGTAGCCATAAGGGCGAACTTTTTGGGGGTCGGTGGCCCCTAAACCCTATAAACCTATAAACCCTAAACCCCCAACCCCAAACCCTGCTTTACAAGAGAACCTTGAACCCAAACAAGGGGGAAAAAAGGGTACCACTAGGCTAGAGCTTGTGCGTCGTGGTGGAGTCTTCGGGTGGGGGTTTGAGACTGAGGGACGCTTAAAAGGCTGTAGGGCTTTAGGGCTTTCGGGCTTGGGGCTTAGGGTTTAGGGTTGAGGTCTTAGGGTTTAGGGTTTAGGGTTTAGGGTTTAGGGTCGAGTCTTCCAGGAATATGATTCAGTAGATGACGAACTCCAAAAGGGCGATGTGGGAGTAATTTTGAAGGTTCGTGGGTCACTATGCGTGGTGACATAAGTAATACAGTAGCGCAACTCCGAAAAAGCGTAACCCCTACACATGCTGTATCCGTCAACCTTCAAAGAACGGCATGAGTGCCTTCAAGCACCCAATCCCTTCATCTTCAATTCTGGCAGCACTTCCGATTGGACATTTCATCAGCCTCAACAGAAACTCAAAGCCCTGAAGCCCTAAAACTTTGGAGCAGCACAGACTTGCAACACAGGTCTCGAAGAGCCAAAGCCTAAGAAGTTCGCACGATGTGAAGCCAAGTTTCCTCCTGAGACCAAGCCCAACCTTTTTAAGCCTAAACCCAGGAGCCATAAACTTAAACCCTAAAGGGTTTAGGGTTTAGGGGTTTAGAGTTTAGGGTTTAGGGATCCCAACACCAAGAGACAGAAAACCGGCGAAAACAAATCAAGGTCGCTGCTGGCTTCGTGCGAGGGGCGTTAGCAGCGCCTCAACCCAAATAAGATGGGGGGAAACAGCGACGTAGATGTGTACATACGTGCATAGATACATACACGTGCCTGCGTACAAATGCAGACCATACATCTTTATGGACATGCAAACGCACGTCTACATACATGTTCCCACACACCAGGCATACGTTTCTCCACATATATACATATATGTATACGAACATGTGGTAGATACTTGCCTGTTGTTCAGAAGCATGTATACCCGCATGTATGCATGCACATGCACGCAGACACAGGAAATTGAATGCATGCGTATCTTTCATATGCACACGATGAAAACGATGCATCCAAAGATTCTTAACAGTCCCGACTAGGGATTGTAATGGGGCGGGGGGGGGGGGGTACTATATTCCCTATTCAGGACTGCTAGTATAAGGGGGAACATCCCAACTAACAGAGGTCGAGGGGCGGTGCCTCGAGACTGCAGCATGGTCCTAGCCCCCTCACGCAATGAATACTCAATAGTTTAGGGTTTAAAGAAGTAGGGTCTAGGGTATAGGGTGTCTGTGTATGCACAGCTACATTGCGAATTCCGCCTGGAAAACACCGAGATGTAATCAAATCCTTTGCCAGAAACCCCGATTTTGCCCTAAACCCCACAGCCTAGTCCTTGCTGCAGATGGCTTTTGCTCGAAGACTAGGCTGGTGCAGGCACAGACCGGAAAAAGCATTGGCTGCACAGCCCTGGCCACCACGGAATTGGATTAAAGTCCTAAACCCTAAACCCTAAACCCTAAACCCTAACCCCTAACCCGTAAACCCTTCAGGTTTCGGCTTGCAGTGCGGTTTGCGAATTCTTTCGGGCTTTCCGAAAATAGGGGTACCCTGTTTGGGGGTCCCTTTGAAGGGATTCTATGCTGTTGGTGGCATAAAGGGAGTACCCCTATTTTTGGAAATATCCTTATAGGGCTGCAGGCCTTTAGGTTGGGCTTAGGGTTTTGGGGTTCAGGGTTTAGGGTTTTGGCTCTGTGGCGGTACCAAAGACAAAATCCACAAGCGGAAGCTTCAGTTTAAGCCCTAAACCCCAAACCCCAAGTCCCAAACCAAACCCCAAACCCCAAACCCTTAAACCCTGAACCCTGAACAACCCCAAACCCCAAGTCCCAAACCAAACCCCAAACCCCAAACCCTAAACCCTGAACCCTGAACCCTAAACCCTAAACCCGAAACCCGAAAACCCTAAACCCTAAACCCTAAACCCTAAGCTGCTCTGTGCGAAGCCGTGGTGGCAAGGCCATGCCCGCTGCGCCAAGACTGGGGCGGGAGGCTTCAGACAACCCTAGGTCCTGAAACCCTGAAACCCGAAACCCTAAACCCTAAACCCTAAACCCCAAACCCTAAACCCTAAACCCTTAAACCCCTAAATCCCGAAAATTAAGACGTATTGCACCTCCTGGTCTGGCCCCCAACCCAACAAGCTGGTGTCTCTGAGGGCCTACCTGGCCCGTCAGCCGGCACCCAGACAGGGTTTAGTTTTGGGTTTAGGGTTTCGGGTTATACTGAAGAGGGATGTAGGGTTTCGGGTTCTACTGAAATAGCCATGAACTGAAGATTCGCATCAGCAACCAAAGACCATTTGGGAAACTGTGTGAGAGCGCATCTGCTGCTTTGCAGCTCGTCATGCAGCCAAATTGGACCAGCTTACAGGTCCTTTGCAAAGTCGCTTATGGCACAGGGCTTGAAGAGTTTGGGGTTTAGGGTTTAGGGTTGAGGGTTTAGGGTTTAGGGTCTAGGGCTTAAAGAGCTTTGGACTCTACAAGGGGTAGATAAACCTGAGCTAAACGCACCGGCGACGCGTGGACTAGAGCATCCTAAACCTCTACAAGCCACGTGTTTTTGTGACTCTCAAAACGTCCCCCGAAATCCCCAAACCCACATCCCCCCAAAAACACCCTAAACACATCCTTTATATATATATATATATATATATATTTATTTATTTATTTAGTTAGTTATTATTTATTTATTTATGTATATATCATATATATATATATATATATGTATATACATATAATATGTACATGCGTTTAGGGTTGAGGGATAGCCATGCCTCCACCTTAGAAGAGCTGAGCCCTCCTAGCTTTGTAGCCCTCCTAGCTTTGTGGCCCTCTCAAACTCCCGACACGCGGTCGCGTTTCAGGAGCCCGGGCGTCAGACAGCTGCGAAAGCCTGAGGCTTCCCTACACCCGGAACCCTACGCCCGAAAACGGGTTTAGGGTTTAGGGTTTAGGGTTTAGGGTTTAGGGTTTAGGGTTTAGAGTTTAGGATTGCACGGCTTGAGGAGGAAGTGTCAAAGGTTGGGAGGGGGGATGGCTTGCCGGAGACCCGAATTACGTCTCTAAAGCAAGGGAGAATTTTGACACAGCAACCCAGGGTCCTTGCTCTGAGATGCTGAAACTGAGGTAGATTCCTTGGGTTAAACCCTGAACCCTAAAGCCCTAGAACTGAGGTAGATTCCTCAACCCTAACCCTAAACCCTAAACCCTGAACCCAAACCCTAAAGGGTCCTACTTCCGCTCCCGCGTCCCCCTAGACCGAGCCACATGTTAAGATTCTCCTCATGCTCCTGAGAATATGAGGGTTTCGGGTGTAGGGTTTAGGGTTCAGGGTTGCATAGTATTCCCAGGGAGGTGGGGATTAGGGTTTTGTGTCTTGTGGGGGCGTAGGGAATATCTGTACCTGTGTATACGAGTTCAGGGACTATAGGTTTGATTTTCGAGGTTCCCTTCACTGCCTTGGACTCACACAAAGGTGCTCTCGCCTCTGGTTATGTGGGTTGGGGGGTTTAGGGCTCGGGGGCTTATAGGGCCTGACCGGGAGAGTAGGGTGTTGCATGAGTTTCTACGAGCCCTCAACCCTACTTGGAGGCTCACCGGTACTTGTAACCCCAAATATAACTGCACTTATATGCCCCCGAAGTCCCCGAAGTAGGTTACAAGTAGACTTATGATGGGGGATATAAGTACCCATGGATCTCCAAGTAAGCCTCCGGGGGTGCTGGATTCTTCAAGCCAGATGCGCAAAAACGATGAGTCGAGCCCTAGACTGCCGTAGCTGTCTTGAAGACCCTAAACCCTAGGGTTTAGAGTTTAGGGTTTAGGGTTTAGCGTTGTTTAGGTTTAGGGTAAGCCCTAAACCCTCAACCGTAAGCCCTAAGCCCTAAACCCTTTTCGAAGGGGTGCAGGACCTCCCAAAAGGTGAAAAATAGGACAGGAAGCCCTAAACTCAAAAACCCAATAAGGCTTGGGGTTCAGGGTTCAGGATTTAGGGCTTAGGGCTTTGAACCACGGAAGTGCCACGGGTCAACGGGGCTGCATCGCAACCCGGATTCAGGCGCCGGGGGGTTTAGTAGAGGTTCATTTTGGGTTCAGGACCGTATGGCCCTCAAAGCCCTCTGAAATAGATTCCTGAATATGATCCTCTTAAACCCAGTACGGGAAAACTTTCAATGTCTCAAGGAAGGGCCCACCTCGCAGGGTTTAGGGTTTAGGGTTTAGGGTTTAGGGTTTAGGGTTTAGGGTTTAGGGTTTAGGGTTTAGGGTTTAGGGTTTAGGGTTTAGGGTTTAGGGTTTAGGGTTTAGGGTTTAGGGTTTAGGCTTTAAGGGTGTAAGGGTTTTAGGGTTTCTTTTTGGGTCTAGGGCTGAGGGAAACCTTTGCCAAGAGGCTGCTGCCGCAGCTGCACCTTCTCGCCTGTCTATCTCACCTCTCATTGCAGTGGGAACTTCCACAGCTCCTGTCTACGGTTTAGGGTTTAGGGTTTAGCTCCTGTCTACAGAAAGGTTACTTGAAGGTTCATGGTACTTACTAGCCAATTATAACTGTACTTATAACCCTACTTTTACGTGGGATAACCCCTATAAGGCCCTTTAGGGGGCATTATAAGTAGGGTTATAAGTACAGTTATAATTGGTTAGTAAGTACCATTAACCTCCAAGCAATCCCAAGACACCCGAACCTGCAGCAAACCCTAAACGCTAGTCATGTGTGAGTTCGGGGGGCTGTTGTCCAGAAGCGCCCTCTTATGAAGAGAATCTCACCCCAACAACAGAATTCCAACTTCGCACAAGCCGTAAGTACTCCAAACGCGATCAGTTCCCAAAACTGCCAATAAGACACTTGAGCTAAATCGTTAAAACCCTCCCAACCCTCAACCCTCCAAAGCCGAGAGTCCTAAGCCCTCCTACTTCAAACCCTTAAACCCTTAAACCCTTAAATTAAACCCTTAAAACCTTAAAACCTTAAACCCTTAAACCCTTAAACCCTTAAACCCTTAAACCCTTAAACCCTTAAACCCTTAAACCCTGAACTAAACCCTAAACCCTAAACCCTACAGCCTAAACCCTAAACCCTATGTCTAGAAACAGCTCCCAGGTCTGCCCTGGACTGGAAACCCCGCAGAGGATTCCGGTGGGAGGGCGCCATTTCGAAGCACGGGGCAATCTAGGGTTTGGGGTTTGGGGTTTAGGGTTTAGGGTTTAGGGCTCAGGATTTAGGGTGTAGGGCTTAGGGTTTAGGGTTTAGGGTTCAGGATTTAGGGTTTAGGGCTTCTAGGGTTTAGGGTTGGAGGATTCAAGGCTGAGGGGGCTTTACCCAAACACACACCAAACTGACCCAGCTCCAAGCCTCTAAAGCAAAGCCTGACTGTTTAGGGTTTATAGGGTTTAGGGTTTAGGGTTTAGGGTTTAGGGTTTAGGGTTTAGGGTTTAGGGTTTAGGGTTTAGGGTTTAGGGTTTAGGGTTTAGGGTTTAGGGTTTAGGGTTTAGGGTTCCCGGAAGGAACCCTCATATTCTTGTGTGTGTTTGGTGGTCCCTTGTAGATAGAACCAACTAAGATGAGCGACTGCCGAGAGCCGTCGTGAAACCTTAAAGAAGGGCAGTATCTCGCGCACTCCCTTTTCGCCCCAGGTAGGTTCAAGAACTACCCTAAACCCTAAACCCCAAACCCTAAACCCTAAACCATGAACCCTAAACCCTAAATCTAAGAAGGCGGTGCATGGCCTAAGCCCTGGGCAAGCGGCGAAGGCGACCCCACCCAGCACCGAAAAACCTCTGCGCCGTAACCCTAAGCCCAAAGCCAAAACACCAGACAACCCTAAATCCTTAACCCTCACCCCGAAACCCCCAAACCCCCACACCCCCAAACCCTTCTAATCCTAAACCCTAAATACCCTACTCCCTAAACCCTTAAAAGTCCCTGAACCCAAAACCCTAAACCCTACTCCCTAAACTCTAAAAAGTCCCTACTCCCCTGACAAGCCCTCATCCATGCCGCCCGACGGCTCGCTCCGATTGAGCTCGGGGTCGCGGCGGGGGTCACGGCCGGAAGGTCCGACCCAATCTCGAGACCTTTATGAAGTTACCCTCATATGGCTCATAGAGGGTCCAGGGTTTAGGGTTTAGGGTCTAGGGTTTAGGGTTGAGAGTCATAGAGGGTCGGAAGAATTAGCAATGGTCTTCCCTTTTGGTCCCTATATCATAAGACTAGAATAACCCCCAAAACCCTATTCCAATTCTTAAGGCCCCTGCATTGGTGAAATAGGATGTGGGGGTTGGGGGTGTACGGGGCGTTTTCTTGTGGTAGGGCTTCGGAGAAGTTTTCTCTAGTTTGGAGCTTCAATGTCGCGCCCGCTTTGGTGGGGACCTTCCTCTTTTGCTTGCCCACTATCGGTCCATTCAGGATCTAGCCCCTGTTCCAGGGCAGAGGGCGAGGCAACATCTGGGTTCAGAGACGCCAATCCACCTATTCTAGGTTGGCCGCTTATCGCAACGAAAACAACCTTATTCGTGAGATCCTCACGGGCCTGAATGACCAACTAGCCTTTGAGCTGTACGACTAGATGGCGTCGGTGGATGAGCCTTGGGAATGGGGCTGGCCAATTCATTACCCAGCGCACTTGCGATGAAGATCTTCAATACCCTAAACCCTAAACCCTAAACCCTAAACCCTAAACCCTAAACCCTAAACCCTAAACCCTAAACCGTGTAATAAGAATTTCATTTAGGAGCCGGGTTTTTTTAGGCCCACACTTCGGAAGGTCCGGGGTTGGGATGCTTGCTTTTGAGTGCTGCTGTGCCATGCTTCGATACATAAACCATGAACCCTGAACCCTAAACCCGAAACCCTAAACCCTAAACCCTGAACCCTGAACCCTAAACCCTAAACCCTAAACCCTAAACCCTGAACCCTAAACCCTAAACCCTAAACCCTAAACCCTAAACCCTAAACCCTAAACCCTGAACCCTGAACCCTGAGCCGCAGCCCGACACCCTGTAGCCGGGGCGCGGTAGTGAGAGTCCACCGCAAAATACGTGACCATGCGAACCTGCCAAGGTTCCCGAACACCCTGAGGGCCAACGCTTACCCAAAAGGTTTGGGTTTTCAAAGGCCGGTGGCCTCTTTATTTGTTACCCTTATACCTTAACATAGCCCCTAGATACCCCAATAAGAACCCCCTACGAAACAGAACCCTACTTAAAGAGGCCACCAACCACCCTAAGGCTTGGGGCTCAGGGTAAGAGCCCTAACCGCGAGCCAACCGCTGATCTACAGGGATAGTTGTTGATGTACGCTTGGGGCTTAGGGATGAGGATCTACGCCTGAAGAGATTGGAACTCAGGGTGGTTGAGTGCAAGAGGTGAGAGGAGAGAAGGAGCGAAGGAGCGAAGGAGAGAAGGAGAGAAGGAGAGAAGGAGAGAAGGAGAGAAGGAGAGAAGGAGAGAAGGAGAGAAGGAGAGAAGGAGAGAAGGAGAGAAGGAGAGAAGGAGAGAAGGAGAGAAGGAGAGAAGGAGAGAAGGAGAGAGGAGAGAAACCCTAAACCCCCATAACCCCCTATAAAACCCCAAGAACCCCCTCTGTAACTCTCCCAACGCCCTTGAAACCATGCCAACGATGACCGAGGGCTCACACCAAAACCTTATACCCCAAAGCCAACACCCTAAACCCTCAGCGACACCTATTCCCCAAACCTAAACCCCAAACCCTTCGCCCTGCTTGATCTCTGATAAACAATAAAACCCTAGACCCCCGAAACCCCCAATCCCAAACCCTAAACCCCAAACCCTAAACCCTAAACCCCAAACCCTAAACCCCCCTTGGGCCTGGTTGTTAGACCCGTGCGGTTGAGAAGGGCTGGTGCTTGTGAAAGCCGCCTCGGCGAGCCCATACTTGAACCCTAACCTCAAACCCGGCTTTAGGGTTTAGGGTTTAGGGTTTAGGGTTTAGGGTTTAGGGTTTAGGGTTTAGGGTTTAGGGTTTAGGATTGAGGGTTTGGGGTTTGGGGTTTAGGGCTTCGGGGTTAGGGGATCCCTAACCTGGGGGTTCTGTGTACCCCCAGACTTGGAAGCTTGGTGGGTCACAAGTTGTAACTGCAGTCACCCTAAACCCTAAACCCTAAACCCTAAACCTTAAACTTAACCCTAAACCCTAACCCCTAAACCCCAATTGGAAATCCTACTTATCACTTGCTTGGCTTGAGGGCGTTGGTGGGATTCTTGTCAGCCGACAGTCTGCGTAGAAGTACTGGCTTCTCAATCCCTAGCCCGTGCGGTAAACCTCAACTCCTATAACTGCTAAGGTTTAGGGTTTAAGGTTTAGGGGTTCAGGGTTCAGGGTTCAGGGTTCAGGGTTTAGGGTTTAGGCCAAAAACACGAAACCCCAAACCCTAAACCCAAAAACTCAACTCCTGTAACTGCTTAAGCTCTGAACTCCACGTCCTGAGTGTCCTACCACCCCCCCTCCCCCCCCAGGCACCCTTACCTAAGCCCTAAACCCTAAGCCTGAAACCCCAAACCATAAACCCCCACGTGAACTCGTGCCCTAAACCCTGAACACTAAACCCTAAGCCCTAAACCCTAAAGCCTAAACCGCAGCCCCAAACCCTGAAAAACCACAAGCCGGTGAGGCCCTGAAACTCTTCGAGCCCAAGGTTCACTCAGCTGGACCACCTGCTCCCGGTTCAGGGTTTAGGGTTCTAGGGTTTAGGGTTTAGGTTAGGGTTAAATGGTTTAGGGGCTTAGGAGTTTACCGGCTTTAGGGGCTCTTTGGCGTTTTGGGCTCAATCAGGGCCGGAGAGCCCTAGCCTTTCCGGGCGTGCAGAATGCTGAGCCCCGAATGAGGCTTAGGGCTCTTATTTGGGGGTCTTAGGGTTTAGGGTTTGGGGTTTAGGCTTAGGGATTAGGGTTTGGGGATTCGGGGGTTTGGGGTTGGGGGGGTGAAGGTACCCTATTTTGGGGAAACACCTAACTCTTTACTGGTAGCATAGGTACAGTGGTTGATCAAACACCACCAATCGTCATGGCCAGGATAACAATTCCCCCCAGACTACTGCACAAACAACCGAACACCCTAAACCCTCCACCCTAAATTTTGGTTTTGGGGTTGGGGAACCCTAAACCCTCAACCTTGGCCAAACGGGATGCCACCTCACCAACCACCGGCGCAGTGGACAAGTCAGGAAATTCCCCTTCCTCCGGCAAGGACACAGCATCTTGGGTGTGGTGCTTAGACAACCTATACAAGCCCCACAAGAGAAGCCCTTCACATTTAGACCCTAACGATTCCTCCCTGCGGGTTTTGGGCTTAGGCTTTCACTCCGTATCATGAAACCCAAGAGCCCTACAATCCTAAAAGCCTATGCCTAGCTTTAGGGTTAGTAGAACCTGCCTGACAAAAGACACAACTCAGGATCCTGAAGCCTACTTAGATTCTTACTTGAAGCTCCTTTTGAAGGGGGTAGGCACCTAACCTTTAGGGTTAGTCGAAACTGACAAGAAGCACAAAAGGAAAAGCCTACTTAGACTCTTACTTGTAGCTCCTTTTGTAGAGATGAGTAAGAGCTAGTAGAAGCTGATAAAGCAGGAGCCACAGGTACCACTTGGGATGTTCACCCTTATACTAACAGTCCTTAACAAGGATTAAAGAGGGTACTCATATCCCGATTGAGGACTGTCAGCATATGGGGGAATAGGGTACCACCCGAGTCCTGAGCGAGCTTGTGGTACAGAAGGTTCCCTGCACAATGAGGGTTCGGGTTTGGGGGCCCAAGTTTCGGCTTTTGGGGGTTTGGGGGCTTGGGGTTCCTAAACCCTATGCCCGTTTCTTGGTGTTTTCGAAGAGGCACACTGCAGAGCCACGCAAGGGGTTGAGTGTTTTCAGGGATTGTGCTTCGTGGTGTAGGGTCTGGGGAGAGGCAGCTCCAGCTATGGATGATGGCAGAGGCGGAACTCCGGGGCCGGCTGCTTGGAAAAAACTCCCCATGCTTGGCCAAGAGAATGTCGCGGGGTGTGGAGGTTTCTGGGCACTTATGGCTCCAATTCTGCATCTACTCAAAACCTGCTTAAAGGGACTCCGGGGGCTTATTAAGTGCAGTTATAAATTGGAGGGTAGAAGTTTCCTGAACCTCCAAGTGTACTTGCCCAAGCCTTGCGGGGCTTTTCATTCACATGAAGACGCCCCCGAGATGGGAGGAAGCTTATGACGACCCAAGGCGCACGCCCCTGCCTGCAAAGAATGCACAGCAGGCCATACCCGATGTCATGAGGATATTGAAGAGAAACACCCACCTCAGTTTATCTTGGAGACTGTGGGTTTAGGGTTTAAGGTTTCGGAAGGAAGCAAGCATCCCGACCCATGAACTAACCTTATGAAACTCCCAGCTCATGTTCTACGCCTTGGGTCGTGGACTCCGACTACCTCGTGGCGGGTATTGGGCGCTTCCTTTCCAGAAACATGCCTAAGTCACATGGCCATGCCCCCCTAATCTGTTAGATTTACCCGAGAAGGCACCAGATCTCGGCCTCGAACTGGCATCGAAACTGGCAAACCATGAGCTCTGATTGACAAGAGCACGACGAAAGAGAGCAACAGCAACAGTCGCAAGAGCCCTAAGAGTCACAACGCTTACGAGAAGACATGACAACTCTAGGAACGAGACACACGAAGGTAGGCAAAATGAGACATTGAAGAGTAAGGGCCAGAGCAGTAAGCCAGTGCAAGAAGATGGACGAATGATGATGTGGCAGCCCGTCAACCCTAAACCCCAAACACTTGTCTCTGTTCAGTCGGAGACATACCGGGAAGGCTTTGGGTTTGCCTTAAGTGGGATTTTGGATTTGGGACTGTTTTGGGTGGATTTGGGGTGGCAACAAAAACTAGCCTAGGTCAACCAACCTCAGTACCTCCTCATGAGAACAGCCTACAAACCCTAAACCCTAAACCCTAAACCCTAAACCCTAAACCCTAAACCCTGAACCCTAAACCCTGAACCCTAAACCCTAAAGCAAAGGATTTGAGGGGGTTTTAAGGTTCAAGGTCGGCGTGTCAGGCGCGAGGCCTGTGGGGCAAGCGGAAGCTTCGGGTCTAGAGGGTTTAGGGTTTAGGGTTTAGGGTTTAGGGTTTTGGGTTCAGGGGCTAGGGTTTCCAGAGAGCCCGATACCCCCCCCCTTGATGATGGAAGACTCCTGACTTTATGGCAACTTGAGATCCCGACATAATGCAATGTTCAGGGTTTGGGGCTTCGGGCTTAGGAATGCTCCTCCTGACTAAGGGCCCAGGGGTAGTGCGCTCTCTGGGATTGAAGACATCTCGAGCCTGAACCCTAAGTTTACTTCTTATAATTTAGTCTATTGGTTTAGTTAGTAAAAGCCCCTATTTAGTTTATTTCTGTGATGAGGGGCTCAGCAAGTAATATTTAAAGCACTTGAACGAAAGTGAAACCAAACAAGCTTATCAAATGCTTGCACGTGAATACTCGCACTAGCGGGAAAAGAGAATTCCTGGCCCAAAAAGTACGAGATTAAGGTTTACCTTTTTCTTCTAGTGGTTTTCCTTCATGTCATGTCGTGCGTCTTTTACTTTCATCACTTGGCCTTTAACGGTTCAGCTCTTCGACTGTGAATGAAATATGGACAACCTGGAGATACGAGTAAAACTGTGGAGAGAACACAATATTATTATTATTACTATTATTATTGTTATTATTATTACTATTATTATTATTGGTGAGGACGCTTAAACCCTCAACCCTAGACCCTCAACCGGGGCACTTGTCGAAGGAGTTCTCTTGCCACAAGAGACAGAGGCTCCTCTGGCTCGGATCTGTTTCCAGATAGCACTGCCTTAGGCGGAAAACAGGTAGTGCTAGGCATAAAAAAGTTACCAAGGAATGAAAAGCGTGCCCTTTTGGGTTAAAAAAGGGGCTTAGAAGGGAACCTAAAGCCCCTAAAAAGAAGAAATAAGGGCCTGCTCTGGTCCTAGCAAAAAGGGTTAAAGGGCTTTAGGGTTTAGGGTGCGTAGTCGAAGGTGACAGAGGGTGGGGGGGGGGGGGGGATAGGGGCCTGTTCTGCCAAAAAATTCTGCTTTAGCCTTAATTGTTCCTTTTGTTGGAGCATGTCTCAGTCGATTTCCGGACAAGCCTCCAAAGAAAGAATTCCCCTAACCCTAAAGCCCAGACCCCGCACCCTAACGCCCAAACCCTAAACTCCCCGTGGTAGCCCAGTACATATTACGATAGCTACTTCATAAGGGAACCCAGAACCAAAAAAAGGGTGTAACGGATACGCTGGGTTACCACTCGCCCTAAACCCGAAACCCTAAACCCTAAACCCTAAACCCCAACCCTAAACCTCAAATCCTCAAGCCTAGATCTCAGGTGCCAGGCTGCCCGTTGACTTCCAGGAGTCGTATCTGGAAGCCTTGGTTTGAAGGGTTGAAGTTTGGAGCTAAAAGCTGCTCCGTGCATCTAACTTGCTAGCCTTCGAACTCTCAAACCCTCGTCGCTCTTGCGACGTTAAAACATGACGCAAGCCATCTCGGCCCCGGGCGTGCGAAACTCCTGGGCAAACGGAGCACTTCGGGTCTGGGGGGGCTTTTCGGGCTTTGGGCATGCCAGGATGCCAAGATCCCCAAAACCCTTAAACCCTAAACCCTAAACCCTATACCCTAACCCTAAGCCCTCAACCCTAACCCTAAACCCTAAACCCTAACCCCTATACCCTAAGCCCTAAACCCTAACCCTAAAGCCCTAGAAGCCGTTTCTTTACGAACCCACAGAGAAACCTTGTGATTTTGGTGGTAGGCTTCCTTATCCCTACAAGGGACCCCAAAGTTACTTCCAACAAAAAGAAAACTCTGAAGACGGCGACCCTAACCCCTAAACCCGAAACCCTTAACACTAAATCCTAAACCCTCAATACTAAATCCTAAACCATAAACCCTAAACCCTGAACCCAACGCGGGCTGTTCGTCAGGATTTGGAGGTTTTGAGGGCCTAGCCGAGAGTCGCAAAGCCCGGAATGCTCTGAAGAATTGAAGGCTTGGGCAAGGTTTATAAGGGTTAGGACCCTAAACCCTAAACCCTAAACCCTCAACCCTTAACCCTTAACCCTTAACCCTAAACCCTAAACCCTAAACCCTAAACCCTAAGGTAGGGTCGCCCCTGCCGCTCCCCCAAAACGATGATAAGCCGGATGCCGGCCCAAGCCGCATCACGGAAATGACGGCCAGGAAAAGGTTGCAGCTGCAGTAGCAGCAGGTCAGCTGCCGGTTGTGATACAGGGCTCCCATGTAGCCTGGGTTCAGGGTTTAGGGTTTAGGGTTTAGGGTTTAGGGTTTAGGGTTTAGGGTTTGGGGTTTAGGGTTTAGGGTTTAGGGTTTAGGGTTTCGGGATTTCAACCAAAATCTGAGAGCTTGCTACTTGAGGACGGCACCTAGATGCCAGTGTCCAAACCTAGTCTTGGCTTCAGTGCATCCCTAAACCCTTAACCCCAAACCCTAAACCCTAAACCCGAAACCCTAACCCCTAAACCCTAAACCCCAAACCCTAAACCCTTAACCCTAAACCCTAAGCCCCTAACCCCAATCGGTCCGAAACCATAGCATGCCTGGGAGACAATCGTTGTCTCCCTTGGGTAGTTGGGTAGTCCAACAGCCCGTGCTGCTTCGCCGCCCCACATGAAGGTTCATGGGGAAGTGCTAAGCAGAGTGTAGGGTTTTGGGTTTACAATTTAAGGTTTAGTGTTTAGGGTTTGGGGCTTAGGGTAGATAAGAATGGGCTTCTGAAGTACATGTACCTTACCGAAAGCTGCAAACATAAGTCTATCACTACCCATGACCCTCCTCCGAGTCTGTCCTGAACCCCCAAACTGCACTACACTCTTGAAGAAGCGACTCCATGGCCGAATGGGCTAAAAAACGCCCTGGGAAACTGCAAAGCATCGAAGATAGCCTCAGACAGTTCGGTTTAGGTCTGGGCTTCAGGGTTTGGGGTAAGTTTGGGGTTCAGGGCTTATGGTTTCGGGCTGCTAAGCCCAAGCTTCAGAACCTGAACCCTTCCTACAAAGCAATCCCAAATCCTAAACTCCAAACCCCAAACCCGAAACCCTAAACTCTAAACCCTAAACCCTAAACTCGAAAGCTGTCATGCCATCAGAGCGGCCGGAAACGGGAATGCTGAGCTCGATAAGCAGCGCGGACAGCTGGCTCCAAACTCCCGAATTGCTGTCGCCTCCCTCAGGACCTGGGGTTTTGGGCTTAGGGTTTAGGGTTTAGGGTGTAGGACCTAAGCGCAAAGGGGATCATATGGGTGCCCTCAAGTGGGAAGCCCAGAGAAGGTACTGGGGAAATAGCAGGATCATAGGTCCATGCTAACTATATCCGGCCCAAACCCTAAACCCCTAAACCCCTAAACCCCTAAACCCCTAAACCCCTAAACCCCTAAACCCCTAAACCCCTAAACCCCTAAACCCCTAAACCCCTAAACCCCTAAACCCCTAAACCCCAAACCCCACACCCTAAACCCCACACCCTAAACCCTAAACCCTAAACCCCAAACCCCCACACCCTAAACCCTAAACCCTAAATCCTAAACCCTTTGTGAGGTTTGCCTTTGTGGGCTGCCCATAGATATTTAGGGTTTAGGGTTTAGGATAGCACATTACAGATATAGCATAAGCCCCCGAAACAAAGCTCCAACCCCAAGAACCATCTGAAGACATTCCCAAGCAAGATCCTCTTTCTATGCAGAATGAAACCCTAAACCCTAAACCCTGAACCCTAAACCCCAAACCCTAAACCCTAAACCCTAAACCCCAAACCCTAAACCCCAAACCCTAATCCAAGAAGCTGTCGTAATTGCCCCTCAGCAGGTTGAGGATGAAGTGGACGATGGAGACCGCGCATGTCGCAGCCGCAAGGAGAATGACGCGGATGGTGATCCGCTTTGCAGCGCTGTCTTCCAAGGGAACTCCGAAGGATATCCTGGGCTCGTAGAGGTTTAGGGTTGAGGGTTTAAGGTTTAGGGTTTAGGGTTTAGAATTAGGGTGCTTGGAGGCTGCATGGGTACTTCTAACCCCAACTAGAATTGCACTTATCAGCCGCCTAAGTCGCCAAAGTAGGCTATAGGTAGACGAAGACTTACAATTTGGGTTCCAAGTACCCATGAACCTCCAAGTAGGGTGTTCGGGTAAATGAAGAGGCGGCCTCGCGTAAGCGGTGAATTCAGGGTCTGTTTTTGGGTCCTGATGAGAAGGGTGCCGTGTCTTTTTTCGGGGATACAAAAAAGGACCCTAATTAAGAGAACTGCCCATTTCTGCTAGGGCAAAAAAGTCGGATTGCGTGGGACGTACGCTCTTGCACGGAGGGAGCCCTCATGTGTAGCGCGTGCCTTCGGCAGCCCTGGCCCTGACAGGGCGACTTGCGCCAGGGCTTAAGGTTTGAAAGCCATCCCATCACGAGGCAAGGCAAAAGCCCCAGAAGAGGTTTGACAACTTTTAGAGCTGAAGCTCGTTGGGTTGGGATGTTCCCCCGTATACTAACAGTCCTTACTTAGGGTTTAGGGTTTGGGGTTTGGGGTTTGGGGTCTAGGGTGTAGGGTCTAGGGTCTAGGGTTTAGGGTTTAGCGTTCAGGGTTTAGGGTTCAGGGTTTAGGGTTTCGGGTTTAGGGTTCCCCGCATGATACTTCCTATTGAGGACTGTCAGTAGAAGGGCGAACATCCCTATTTGTAAGGTTGTTGACATTGGGGGAAACCCTAAACCCGAAACCCTAAACCCAGAACACAGGGGCTTTGGGGTGCGGCTTTGAGGTACAAGGGCTGACCCTAAACCCAAAACCCCTAAAACCCTAAAAAGAACAAGGACTTCTACAAAGGGACCCCTCGAGTGTAAAGGTCGCTAGAGGGATCAAAGGCCACAGACAGCTGCCTACGGCACCCGCTTGAATCAACAAACGGGTTTGGGGTTTAGGGTTTAGGGTTTAGGGTTTAGGGTCTAGGGTCTAGGGTTTAGGGTTTAGGGTTTAGGGTTTAGGGTTTAGGGTTTAGGGTAACTCTATGCTTTCCTTTAACGCTTAAGGCCGGGCAGCAGGGTGCCCTCGTTGACCGCCGGTGAGTTCGATGACATGTCGGTTGGCACCGGGATGCGAAAGCCGTTCACCGGCGTGTTGTGCGTGAAAAGCGGCGTGGGAGGAGTCAAAGGCATGGGAGACGCCTGCGTGCAATCTTCCGCAAGGCCTAGGGTTTAGGGTTTAGGGTTTAGGGTTCAGGGTTCGGGGTTCAGGGTTCAGGGTTTAGGGCTGGCTCCTAGAGAAACGCGGTTCTTCCGCTCCTCAGACTGAACACTACTGGGAAGTTCATGGGTACTTCGAACTCCAATAATACGTCTACCTATGACCTAGTTAGGGGACTTAAGGGCGCTTGTCAGTACAGATATACTTGGGGATTATAAGTACCCATGAACCTCCCAGCAAGCCTTTCCGTCAAATCGCCTAAGCAGACAGAGGAGCCTCCGGAAGATTTGACCGCCTTGCCGCATGATAGCGTGCTGCAAACTCTGTCGGGTCCTTGGAGCTCAGGCGAAAGCTTGCCATAACTCAGGTTCGTAATGACTGGGGGGAACGACCACAAGTACTCCTAAAGCCCAAGACCCTAAACCCCAAACCCCAAACCCTGATTAGGTAATGAAGGGGCCAAACAGGCTGAGGCCCTTACACCCTAACTAAACCCTGAACCCTAAACCCTAAACCCTAAACTGTTGGGAACCCCACCTCCTCGGACTGTGTCGCCTCGGACTGAACGGCCACATGGACGAGGGTCTTGGTTGCAGTGAAGACTCGGGCTCCCCAGCGTTTAGGGTTTAGGGTTTGGGGTTTGGGTTTAGGGTTTGGGGCTTTTTAGGGTTTAGGGTTTAGGGTTTGGGGTTTGGGTGTTTTGGATTTTGGGTTTGGGTTTTTTGGGGTTTGGGGTTTGGGGTTCTTGGGGTTCTAAACCCCAGAACTTACAAACCCCAAGCCTTAATGAAGAATGTGAAAGGGGGTGCCTCTTTTCGGTTGAAGAAGGCCCTAGAAGGGAACCAAACTCAAAAGGGGAAAGAAAGTACTGTGGGGGAGAGCCGGGTTTAGGGGGTTTAGGGTTTTAGGGTCTATCGTTGATTTTCGGGTTCTAGGGTTTAGGGGTGAGGGCTTTAGGGCTTTAAGGTTGAGGATTTCGTTGCTGGAATATATGTGTTCGTATCTGATACACGTGCAAGACTGACCGACCTACGTTGCTGTTCTTGGGTTTTCGGTTTGAGGCTTCAGCGGATATTCGGATTTAGGGTGGGAGTTGACGGTTTTAGGTCCGCAGAAACCTAGGAGACAATAGGGGGCCTTTGCAATGAGTATTACTATTATTCTTAGTATTATGTCATTTGTCTTTTATTTTGTTCGTTGTGTTTATGTTTTTGATGTGTTGTTTAGATTTTTTGTGGGTGAGTGGGCCTTGAGTATTGTCCTTACAAAGGGCAAGGTTAATTCACATCTTTGCGGGTGAAGTCACATCTCCCCAGTTGTACACAAGAAGATACGACTTAACCTACCCCCCTTGTAGAGTTCCGAGGCAGTGTACTCCAACCAGGACACCCCTCCTCCTCTCTCGCCCCTCCTCCCTTCCCCGCCTCCCCTCCCCCGTCCTCTGTCCGCGTTTCAGCAACCCCCCCTTCTCGGCTGGGGGGTTGGGGTTGGCATCTTTTCCGGCGGCTTTTGCGTTCCCTGCACGCGTGCCCTGATCGGTTGGATTGGTTCGGTTACACCACCAGAGCCTTGGTCTGCATTATGATTAAACCCCCTCTTGAACTCCCCGCGGAGTGCGGGCGGCTGCGGCTCTCACGCTGCTAGCCATTCTCCCTCCCTCCCCTCCCTCCCTCCGACGGTTAGTATGAGGAACATCCCAACCCGCATCCCTGTACGTGCACTGTTCACTGTTGAATGCTGGCGAGAGGCCGGACCATTGACAGCAGGTGTCGAAGGGCTGCTCATATGAGCTGCTGAAAAGCGAATTTCTCAGTAACCCCTATCTACGCCAAGCCCCCTTAACCACAAACCTCGAAGCATTGTGAAGCTGGGGCTTGTGGAACTTGGGGTGTCAGGGCTATGGCTTAAGCCAGTATGCGGTCAGGGGTAAATGGGCCAACCTCTCAGAGAAGAGAGTTGGGGGCCCTCAGAATGTGGGAGGCTTTGCACTCTGAGGTTTTGGTTGCTTGTCTTGGGGGCTCGAGGGTTTTGGGTGCGCAGGGTACTTCTCTTTGGTCTAAGGTTTTAGGACTTAGGGTCAAGGGTTAATTAAGGTTCAGGCTCAGGGTTTGGGGGTGTTGCATGTGCAGAAAGGTGCTGATGAGTATTCAAAGCCTATTCACAGGCTTGGGCCCAGACCACAAGCACCAGAGAAGGTGCCCAGTTGCAAAGGAAATCTGCTTGGGTTCAACCTTATGAGCACCGCACCCTAAACCCGAATCCCGAAACTTGAGCCCTAAAGCCCCCCACCCAATCCAGGGCACCCAAAACAGACTCCGCCCCCCCCCCCCCCCCCCCATAAACCCTAAACCCAAAAGGCCTAAACCCCTCTGAGCCGTTTCAAGTCCAGGGCTTCGCACCCGAAAAGCCTCCAAGCCGCCACCTGCCCTAAAAGCACCGTTTGGGGTTTAGGGTTAGGTTTAGGGTTTAGGGTTTAGGGTCTAGGGCTTTAGAACCTCAAAACCAAAACCCTTAACCCTAAACGCCCAAAACACAAAATCCCCAGCCCTCAACCCACGGGCTACTGCGCGTGTGCGAAGGCTGAGCTATGGGCAAAAGCCCATCTGCACCACGCCGGCGGCATGGGGCCACCTGTTGTCTGGGTCCCGAAGGACCAAGTGGCACTTTTCGAGCCTCCGGTTGCCCCAAAACCCCGAAACCTCTAAGCCTCTTAAACCCTTTAAAACCCCCAAAGCCCTAGAAGCCCCTAGAGCCCCAAGCAACCCTGAAGCCCGTAAGACCCCTGAAGCCCCCCAACCCCCCACGGCTCCGAAGCCCCTTTAGCCCCTAAATCCCTAAAGGCCCGAATAAAAACCCTCAAAAGCCTGAAAACCCTCAAACAAACCAAAGAAGAACCTTCAAAAAACAAAAAGCAAACCTTAAACCCTAAATAAAACCCCTGAAAAAACCCAAGAGCCCCCTTTAAAAAACCCAGCCCTAAAACAGCCCCCTGCACTGGGTTACCACTAGCCCTAAACCCCACACCCTAAACCGAGATTTTGTGCCCCTCATGGAACCCAGGGGGATCCTCCAAAACATGGGCCCTTGTTGGCGGTTGCTCTATATAGTGTATAGGGTTTAGGGTTTACAGGGTTTAGGGTTCAGGGTTTATGTAAGGTTTTAGGATCTTTGTTTTTGGCTTCATGGTTTAGGGTTTGCAAGGCTCTGTATTTTATGAAGCCCTCCAATAGACGGGACCATCATTTAGCATCTCATGAGACTCCTCAGCATTGGTTGAAGAACGCTGCCTTCTTCAGCTCCAGTGGATCTGCAACGCCTAGAAAGGCCTTCTGAATGAGGCACTTCGGCAGCCCACCATCCCATGCGCTTGCCAAGGGAGGGCAGCCACCAGTGGCCGCTGTCGCGGCTGCCAAAGTTTGCCCATGCAGCTCAAGCACCGTGCGCGATGTGCACGAGATGATGCCATGGGGACCATGTTGACATTATACACGTGCGAATTTGAAGTCTAGACGAGTAACCCCACAGGACAAGGACAAGGATGTCAGTGCGCTTTACTGAACCAGCCGATTCCCAGGACCTCCCAAGACCATGTGAAAAATGTAAAGATATTGGGTTAGCGTAGAGGAACCAAATAAGTTTTATGGTTTAGTGTTCAGGGTTTATGTTGCGGGGTTTATCGTGTAGAGGGTTTAGGGTCTGCAGGGTAGTTTAGGTTCTGCAGCGTTCAGAGTTCAGGGTTCAGGGTACAGGGTTTGCTTCTGGTGTTGGGTTTTGAGTTTGCAGAGTTCAACATACCCGTTGACGGAGCTCTGTGCACATGCTACTCGTGAGTTTGACCCTAAACCCTAAACACCTAAACACCTAAACACCTAAACACCTAAACACCTAAACCCTAAACCCTGGATGTCCGTCCACCTTCACATCACTGAAGTGGCGAAGAGGCACGCACCCTGCGGCGCTCGGCACAAGCTATGCAAGCCCAACTCCCCAGACCTGGGGTTTCCGAAACTCGGGGACTCGGGGACCCTCATCGAGACCCCCAAATAGTAGGATCCCCTTAGAATAAGGATCCCCCTAAACCCTAAACCCTAAACCCTCAACCCTCAGCCCTAAACCCTAAACCCCAATACGGAAACCACCACCCCTGAATACACTGCTGGCACTCAGTGCAAATCCATGTGCGGCTTGGAACGAACTGAGTGCGCTGCATGGCTGTGGGTTTTGGGAACCCCAAAACCCTAAACCCTATATGAATCGAGAGGGATGGGTATTTGGCTTGGGGATACTTGGGGCGGACGTCTGCTCGAGACAGCAAGGCACGCACAGGCCTGCTGGACAATGGCACCATGACGCGCCATGTCGCTGGCGTCCCTAAACCCTAAACTATACACCCTAAACCCTAAACCCTCAACCCTCAACCCTCAACCCTAAACCCTAAACCCTGACGAAATCTGTTCAGGACTTCGGTTTCAGGGGGCTGCTGGTTGAGTTGAGGGTCTAGGGTCCAAACAGACCTAAAGGTTCCGGAGTTCAGGTAGCACGTGCTTTGGCAACTTTGCTTGGTGCATGTCCTGCCCTAGCCTCAGCCATTGGTCTTTGTAGTCCTACGAGTTCCTTTAACGGCAACCCAGGTTGCAACCCCTAAACCCTAAACCCTAAACCCTAAACCCTAAACCCTAAACCCTAAACCTCTAAACCGCTTCGCTGTTCGGCCAGAAATGGCTGAACCGGATTGCGCGCGCGCAAGAGCGTCGTTCCAAGGCAGGCACCGCGAAAGAATCGGCAGGGGGGATGTTTCCCCAAAAACCCACAATTACTTGGAGGCTCATTGTACTTAGCAGCCAAATGTGATTGCACTTGTGACCCAATTATCACCATTTTAGGGGAATTAAGGGGCTTGTAAGTGGGTGATAAATACACCTATCATTGGTTTTAAGTACCACGAACCCTACACCCTAAACCCCCAAAGTGCTTCCCGAGTGAAGACTCGAAACAGGGCGCAGCAGGGCCGACCAGAATGTCCAAATTGAGGTTCTCTGGGCCTCGGTATTGAGGGCAGCACCTGGAAGCCCTGAACCCTAAACCCTAAACCCCAAACCCTTAACCCTTAAACCCTAAACTCCCTTGTAGCAGGTCGTGACTGCTCCGCGGTGAAGTAAGTCTCGGACAATGGCCGTACCTGCGCCGCGCTGGAGAATCAGATCGAGCGTGTCATCTAGTTCACTTGGGCTACTGTTGCTTATCATCTTTAGGGTTTAGGGTTTAGGGTTTGGGGTTTAGGTTTAGGGTTTAGGGTTCGGATGAAGGTTGAGTCGGTTACAAGTGTCGGGAGCGGGCCGAGGGTGTGTTGGGAACAGGGGGGGCGCGTGTTGGGAACTGGGCAGGCGTGAGTCAGGAACGCAGGGGGGGTGAGTCGGGAACAGGGCCCATGTGTACAGCACGCCCGGGGGTTGAGTTGGGAAAGGCTGCCCCCCAGAATTGGGTTTCGGAGTGATGACCCTACTCTGCAGGTTTGTTTTAAGTCCTCTTTCGACGACTTGGAGTGTTGGTGTGCGGGTTCATGACACGTCGGATGTGTTCGCCTCGTAAAGTCTCCCCTTTGGAAGCTGAAAAGAAGACGGTAGACCCAACTCCAAGTCGTCGAAAGAGGCCTTAAAACAAACCTGCAGAGCAGCGTCATCACTCCGAAACCCAATTCTGGGGAGCAGCCGTTCCCAACTCAACCGGGGCGTGCTGTACACGTGAGCCCTGTTCCCGACTCACCCCCCCTGCGTTCCCGACTCACGCCTGCCCTGTTCCCAACACGCACCCCCCCTGTTCTCAACACGCGTGTGCCCAACACACCCCAGTTGCAACCAACACGACTAACATTCTTTAGGGTTCACGGCTACTAGACCAGGAGTAACCTAGGAATAAAAACGTTACCCTTTTTGGTTGAAAAAGGGTTTATAAGGGAACCTAAACCCTAAAGAATGGAAACAAGGGCCCTCTCTGGGTCCTAGACTACTGCTGCTATCATCTTTCCGGTCTAAGGCTAAGGGTTTAAGGTTTAGAGTGCATGTTAGCTTCTCTTTACATGCTCCTACAATGCTTCATGTATCGTCTGTGTTAGGATGGACGCACTGTTCGAAGGAATTATGACAACTGACACCAAGCTCACTACTTTGGCTTGGCACATAGTGATCTCGCACTCCCTAAGCCCTAAGCCCCAATCCCTAAGCCCTGAACCCTAAACCCTGTTCCACTTTACAGAACACTGACAAGAAAGAGTTGAAACAGGGCCTAAAATATTTGACGCTCGGGTTTCTAGACTTAAAACCCTAGGCCCGCACACTTTCAGCAGGGCAGGTCCCAGGTGAAGTTCCAGTTCCTATTGTATAAGGCTGATGCAAGTATGGGAGGACGGCCACCTGAAGTTGTCCTAGAGTTGGGTTTAGGGTTTAGGCTTTAGGGTTTAGGGTTTAGGGTTTAGGGTTTAGGGTTTAGGGTGTCGGGTTTAGGGTTTAGGGCTTAGGGGTTAAGAGGCTAAAGACACCCAGCTGAGGGAAAGGCGAGTCCGAATTTCGTAAGGATTGCTCAGCCAGCCAGCGCTGACACACCTGCAGTGCAACGGACATGGAGGGCTACTCCACTCACTTAGGGTTCAGGGTTCAGGGTTCAGAGTTTAGGGTATATACGGTTCAGGACAAGATAAAAGATTTAGGGTTTAAAACCAGGTTCGCGTTTTAGGGTTTAGGGCTACAAACTGAAACCCAATTAAACCACAGAATCCCGGAATACCCTGA